TGTATAATACCATTCGACGGTGGTAGGGCCACGCAGCAGCCTCGGCTGTTGCACTAATGGGCAGGCCCGTCCGGGTAAGTACCACGACCTCACAGAAGACCAGCGTAAAGTGGAAGTATGACAAATACTTTCGCGTTTCGTTTGGTGAGTGAGGTAGCCGGAGCCCAATTTTCAAAAGGTTGTCAACGTATCTGGAACCCTCGGGTGGGGCAGATGTCCATGGGCGGCGGTATTCAATTAACATCGGGTGAACCGTCTGCTCGTTTTACAACTTTTCGCATAAAATAATAAAAATAATAAATAATAACGTAAATATGAGGCCTGCGAGAATTACTGTCGCAAATCTGTGTTCAGAACTAAGTGTCCGTCTATTTTGAGACTCGACGATGCGTTAACATCATCTCTCTGTCTACTTCATTAGGATGAAAAGACTTAAGCGTTAAAAGGGCTTTCTTAGTTCTCCGTTATTCGTCACCAAAACATATACTAAGTTTGCAGCTAAAAATTAATGCAATTGGAGTTCCTGTAATAAAACTAAATAGGGTGGAACGTCTGAATTATAACTGCGTACTTTGCCAACTCAATTGTAGGGATGTCAAAAGTAAAGAAACATATCGACGTTTATAAAAAAAATCAATATCGGCTTTGACATGTCGAAGAGAAAATATCGAAATATCGGATATAGTCTTGAAAATCTGTGTCCAAAAAAGGTAAGTCAAGTTTTAAATATTTGACACGTACGGACTCGAATTTAAAAAAAGTATCACTTATGATACAATTTTAGATATTGAATATTTTGTATCGATATACCGGATCCAAATATATCGGCTGAAAATATCGATATATAGGATTAAAAATATCGATACATCGATACTTTTCGGCATCCCTACTCAATTGCAGTGGAGCAAGCGCGGCCGGCCGACGCCGTTTCGTCTATAACTCGCATTTTGTTTATTTTTCATCGCGTGAATATAACAATTTGAATAAAAACAACGACGCGTCGCTGACTAATTAAACAAAAGGTCCTTTAACCTTTTAAGGTTTTTTAACTTAAAAATTCGGCGGTTAATACGCATGGAAAGTTGAAAACCGCAGAGACCTAGCGTAATGCAAGTTTTACCGAGCTAATTTAGTCACTACTATTAGCGATATAATAAGCAATATTTACTGTAACATACATTTGCATTTTTCTTTTACTCTATACCTACTGAAATTATCGTACCCCTAATGCCTACTTTCTTTACAATTTTTCAACTCTATTTAACATGCAAAACCCGAAGACACTCGCGAAGCAACTTAACGTCGAGAACCAGCTAAAATAAGATGTCGGTACGATCGCGTACTGAGCAATGCAACATGGCGGCCCCCCCGGGTCATCAAACCCGGTGCCCCGCCATCTATAATTGCACCGAACAGACGATGGCCTTGAGGCGCGTATTGCCACTGCACTGTACGCACGGTACACGCGCACCGTTCGGTCCCGGCTTCGAACTTGGCACACGACGCGATTAATATGTCAGCCGACTAGATTTATGAACACGTAGAAACGACAATTAAGGGAAGGTAATTACGGATACAGGATAAAACTGCTTATTCAATGGAGCAGCTTCCTTACAGCTATGTAATAATTTGACCGGCACGGTGTCGGCACAATGTATATTTATATATGGTTAACCATTGTGCTCCAGTTTGATATATTAACTATGCAAATAACTATATCAACCGCACAATAACATTTTAACACCTTCCAGGAATACTTGCTACGCAGTGATCACACCGTGAAATTTAAATCGACTATTCGATAAAAAAATTCCTGTGCAGATGGCCAAACATAATCGTCAGAGATAACGGTCTGTAGGGGAGCAGCCAACGTAAAAATTAACCGGACTTACTTTCCGAAGTCGCCCCGGCCTCATGCAAGCAGTCTGCTCTAATAAAATAAACGCCCGCGTGGCCACGCCAACTTTCGGATGCCCCCGCGTCTAGATCCCCAACAGTTTCGCCTTAACTCGATTACTCGACCGCTTCCCTGCGACGTTGATAAAACGGGAGCTAATCTCGCGCACTCCACGCGTGTACACAATAATTGACAGCTGTCTACAATGTCCGGGACGTTGTCGGTGTCTGAAAATAACTGTTGTTTTTTTATGTGAGAAGGTGGCTAGCGAGCTGGCGGTTCACCTGATGTTAAATGATAACCTGTTGCAGATGCGTTGCCATGCCTTTCAATGAAGTAGCCTCGGTTACCCCGGTCACCAGACGAATCGTGGAAGTATAACATTTCCAGTTAACGCCGGTCTTCTGTGAGGTCGTGGTATTCACACAGACGGACCTGCCCATTCGCGCAATCCTTACTTTCCTTACTTATCCTTACTATCCTTACTAATATTATAAAAGCGAAAGTTTGTATGTATGGATGGATGTTTGATACTCTTTCACGCAAATACTACTGGAATGGATTTTAATGAAACTTTACAATAATAAAGCCGCGGTTAACAGCTGGTACACAATAAAATATGGTTTTATAATCGTTATATATTAAAAATCATTATAAAAATTAAGAATTCAAAGATACCTAACTGCGAATTTCAAAAAATTACTGTTTCTAGTATAGAACTATTAAGGCATTGTTACGGTTACCCTATTCAGTTAATTATTATTAACAGTTAATTATTTATTAATTATAAAATAATAAAATCTTAAAAGCTCTTTATTTATTGACGTTTGTCAATAGCGGTCAATTGTTGGTGAATCGGTTAAATTTTCGCCGCCATCTCTTTGATATGTGTAGTGCAATTTCAGTAAAATATAACACAAACGGTAGCGCCATTTAACCCTAGACGGACAGAGCTTTTGAACGCTGTCCACAAATCGCACAAATAATTTTAGTCCCAAGCGACTAGCTTGTTGGTGTAATACGGGCACTAATAAGGCATTTGTTCTTGTATTATAATTAATTTAGTTTGAAATAATTGCCTCGTGTGTGGCTAAATGTTGTTATGACTTTGACTATGTCACTTAAAAAGCAACTTGAATCTGGCAAGTTACTACTTGTCAGATTTAACTTGAGGATAGAAGGATACTTCCTTCTCCTCACGTTTAAATTATCATTAACATAAAAAGTTATGTTTAAAATAAAACACAAATGGAATTTCTACCCACGTCTGAAAGAAGAAAACAGACAGACCCAAAAAGTTAACGATACCAATAAATAACTAGCCCTTGGAGATTTCAATGGAGCATTAATTGCGATAACTCCGGTAATGTAGGAACTTTCATACTTACCAGTATAATTTTTCTACTGCAAACAAAATGTCGTCATTTACATTAAAGGCGTCCTTCGCCACGTGGCCATTGCTTTCATGAAACATCGGAATTAAACACGTCTCTATAGTGCTGTGCCGTTGTGGTATTTGCAGTTTTTTTTCCATAAATATGTAGGAAACATTTGAACCCCGTGCATTAGACTGGAACACGCAATCCTACAGCAAATTGGCTTGGGCAAAAACTATATTGATCCACTGCATGCACGTGGAGAAATGTAATTATATTGTGACCTCCACGCGCTTGGGCAAGGCATGTGCACTAATCGCAGATAGTACACATTTTTGAACTGCGAAACTTCATTTGTTTTGACTCGGTGACATTAAGTAGCATTAGATTAAGTAGACGTACTCTGGTTCCTCGAGCATATATTGAATTAAAAGCGTACGGCTTGGGCAATGAGCTATCATGGCTATATTATTGTGTGTTTATTGTCATTATTTTTATATTATTAGGACATACACTAAATTGTTATTTTTATATATTTAAATATTATTGAAGTAACCATTTTATCTACAAGCAAAAGTTATTTAAAATGTTTACAATTACTTACTAAATAAGTCCTCGATAAATTAAGCTGTGTTTCTTTATTCGTAATAACATTGCACAAGGTTAGATTTTTCAACATCCTAATGAGGTTACGACCGCTTTTCTTAACGGTAGGTATGTTCAGGGTTTATTTCAGTTTATCTCGTATTAGCCCACTTTTCCAAAGTGCTTATTTAAGCGAACGTGACGCTTGGAGGGTCCTGCGATACAGCCGGCGGCACGAATCTTACATTATCCAGAAAGGTCGTTTGTACGCGGCGATCACAACGCATATCTTAATGGTGGATCTCAATCAAGGAACAAAGCGAACCATGTCTTCCATCAGTAAGTGTAGGCGGAAGGGGCTGTAATGAGTGTTGACTCGGGGCCAATCTCGTTTGCGATACATTTAGCGTAATTACTTTGAAAAGTAAGATTTATTCTAATTTATGCATTAGTTTAATATACCAACAATTGCACCCTAAATGTTCTTTGCTTAAATATTTCTGTCTTAATATGAATGCATGTCAAATTGCTTTATTAACGATAACACATATTTATGTTTGTGTCTGTATTATTAACGTCTTATCATTATCTGTCGAAATTCTATCATCTGAACTTCTAAAAAGTAATTTTTTTACCAACCAAAAACAAAACCGACTTCAAATATCTCGCTTTGTATTCATTTTATAATTAATTTTCAGGAGTTCCCTAAGTATCTCTGGAGGCCAAGATCCTATACCAAAAAAATTAATATGGGAAGCACCAGCTTTCATATACAAAAAAAATCATCAAAATCGGTTAACTCAGTCAAAAGTTATGAGGTAACGAACATAAAAAAAAAATACAGACGAATCGAGAACCTCCTCCTTTTGAAGTAGGTTAAAAAAGGCTATATACTTTTTACATTACTGAGCAAAATCTTCCTCCGTTCAAAGGGAACTACTAACACCCCTCAGACATCTAAAAAAGTAACCGAAACAAAGAGAAAAGCGTTGAATCATTGTCCTTCGCCGAAAACAGCCCGATCGATAGTTTGTAGGTTACCGCAGTCGTAAAGCAGACGCTGTCGGTCGGTGGGTAGCGGGCTAGCGCGCTTTTATCGTATCTAGGGATGAACTAGCGACGGGTCGTTAAATACGCTTTTACCTTGCGAGGCCACGTTTTATACCCACCCGCTGCCGTACCACGATGTAGACGAATTCTTGAACATTTCGTACCCGTCGATTAGAGAGAGTATCTACTATCCTAGTCGCGGGGGTCGCGGATGATGGCGTTTTCGTGTTCCAGTGTCGGCCCATGTGATAGTGCACCTGCAAATTGCAAACTCCCATATACACAAAAAATAGCCGGGGCAACCCTATAAAACGATAGCAATACTTTTCAAACAACTCAGGTATTGAGTGTCCATAGGAGGCGATCCTCTCTTAACTTTACATGAACCGTTTGCTTGGTTGCAATAATTTTGAAATGAAAAAATCTTTACTGTTACGTTATGCGAGGTAGTCTAATTCCCTAAAAGATTGGGACACCAGCTGCAACCTACACTAGGTTGCTCATTTTCCAGTTCCAAATGATAGATTCAAAATAGCTTTAAAAGTACTTTGTTTTTGCAACGACGTAAAATCAGGAAACGAGAAAATTACTTATATGAGCCTCGAAACCACTACATGCTATTTGATGCCTTTAGCGACCACAAAACTCCCGCGGCTGTAGATCGTTGAACTTTACTGATTGATACCATTTTGTATAATGAAGGCGAGTTAGATTCGATTCCGAAGAGTAATTAAATTATATTGCTTTAATTGTTAACTAAATAAAAGGTAGCTCATCTCATCAAGAAATTGCACCTACAGGTATTTAAAAACAAATGTAATATCAATGTAAAGTATTTAACATATTATATATTTTAAACTTTTCAATATATAATTTTTCTATGACCAAACATGATAATTTGATGATCCTTAATTTTAAGTTTTACCACCTAAGCTTAATTGATAATAGGTTATAAAAGAATACCAATAAACTGAACATTCATGACAGAAATGGTATAAGGATCCCCTTTCGCGGTCATTGTCCTAGATATTTGAACTGTTTCCGAGTTCTCCTCTGTCGGATGTTTGGTGATGTAGATGCGCTAGGCATTGCCAAGAGTTTAATGGAATCTGGCAAAGACATGCAAATGGTTAGTTCTTCTTATTTCAGTCTTGTTGGCATTTATTCTACTTTTGTACAGTGATTCTGATACCCATAACGTTAATTCAAAATTCCGTTTATAAACAAGCATAATTTTTAACAAAAAAAAAAGCGACTTCGATCGGAAAATTAAAAACATTGTTAATACCTATAACATTCAATGATGGTACTCGATTTCTCTGGGATGCCATCATTAGATCCGGGTTTCCTTCATGGTACCACCCTTGGGATATCTCCTTTCCGACAAAAAAAGAATCATCAAAATTGGTTCATTAACGACGAAGTTATCCACGAACACACATAAAAAAAAATAAAAATATATACGGTCGAATTGAGAAACCTCCTTTTTTGAAGTCGGTTAAAAACTACAATGTGTTTGAAAACTTGACTTGTTTTATGATATCCGGTTTGATTACTTTTCTAATAACATAACTTAGGTATTTAATCTACTAAATAAGTAATTTTAAGTTAAACATTTTAATACTAAATTACTAATTTCATCGAGGAAATAAGCAACTATTTATTGATTAACAATTTAGTTAGGTAAATAGGGGAAGATAAGGATAAATTACTTTTTTGAACATTTCTATTTAGTTTCATTTTGGAAATCTCATATAAAAACTCAATATCCAGAGTACATGCAATTCTAAATAGGTAACTGATGCCCATCTTGAGTATCGTGTATAATATTAATCAAGCTCAATGTTATACTAACCGATCTGCACGTAAAGCTAGCATGGTTCATGGCGCGTGACCTCGAGAGCACCCGCGGGGGTGAATATTCTATAACTTGGCGTGGACGTACAGCCGGCGACGTAACACGCCGTTGTGTGATCAGCACGCAGGCGATCATCGTCCCAATCGCCAGGTCGCGATGCATGTAATCCGACGTTCGCATATACGGATCGGTGAGGGACTTACGCTGCCGGTTGTTCGCATACAACGGTGATTGAGCACGCGCTGGAACAAAACCTCTGTCGTAATGGATTGTGGGCGCTCTGTCAAGAAGATGCGGGCTCCATAATGGGTCCGTTTGTGGCCTTAATGAGCGTCACCAGAAGCGGCCTCCATCGATGTTTTACGCCCCTAGTGGCGGCTATTCATTAAGGCCGTGTGTTACCCCTTACCTTTTTACTGTAACAATACATGTATAGTGTTTTATTTATTTATTTATTATTTATGCACAAACATATACGTGCAAAGCGGGCTCAATGCAATCAGAATTATCTGCCATTCAACCTTGTGGTGTTCCAGAGATGTTTAGGTTTTACTGGCATGTTTTTCTTTTATCCCTTAAAGTCAAACTGAGTTTTTGTTTATATTTGCAGTTTCTTTCGCATTATCAGTCAAAGAATTTGCTGAATTTAAATTTGAATTTAAATGTTATATTCACTGATAATATCTCTATTTACTACTGTGAGTGTGGTTAACACCACACTTTTCGAGTCAGAACTTATAATCGTCACTCAAAATAATATGTACTTAGGTAATGTTAATCTGTACCAGCATATTCAGTCAAATTTCCTATCAAATTGGTAATACCTTTTATTTGTTTTATCAAAACCCAGTGCAGAAGTAAATAAAGAGATTTCAGAATGCAGAAGAAGGTCGTATGCAAATACAATTGAAGCTGAAAGCACGTAGCTTCGGACGTCACTAAACTATTTCTGCAACTTGAAACGTCAGAGTTTGTTTCCATTGTTTATCCTAAAAACATTTCTTATATAGTTGACATTTCATATATTATAAGCGGCCGTTGAAACATGGTGCATTATAATTATGTAATGTAATTGGATTGAAATTTTATTGCGGGAAAATTAGGATGTTAGTGCACATGTTTTGGTTGGTAAATTATATTTTATAACTTAAAGGAAGGGTATGAACTCAGCACTCCTAAAATTACTATAGGGTTTAATGTATTTCAGCAGAATGGTGAATATGCATGTAGTTATGAAAACTGTCGTTGGGATTGTTGTTGGCCTGGAAATTCACAAACTCTTGCCAGAAGACATAAATTGTAAGATATTTGCTGTGTCGCGTGCTTTGCTACAAACAGTATAGGGCCTCGAATTATTTCCTCCATTTGGCTGTCTGATGCAGTAGAAATTTAAATCTCTGCACTTAAGAATGATTTTCTTAAAAATTTTAATGTCTGATGCAGTGTTCAAATCTTGGAACTACTTTCCTTGTCTAACACTAATAAGTACATAGATCATAATTACTCACCTTTATAGGAGATAAATTTTTTTACCTTGACCACCGATCTGCATACTTTAATCATATACATGCTTAATCTTTACTAAACTAAAACTTTTGTGGGTTTTTAAATATTTTTTATTGAGTTTAAGTTTTATTTAATATTAAATTCGTTTAATTTTCGGACGTCTCGAATACCTTACAGAGTCCATACTTCGTCTAAACTTACATGTATTTAGCTATCGAGCGCGATAAAATGTAAGAGTTCTTTTTATTCATTTTGGAACAAATATATACAGTTAATCCAACTTCATCTGAACTAACCATCTCGTTTGTTGTGAATGCATGTGCTATGTTGTGCTTAAGACTGGCTAAGTCGCGTCAACATTCCGACCGGATGTCGCTCTGATGAGGGCGCCCCAGCCGTTTCCATTTGCGCCGGATACGCCACATCGACTAGTAATTTCAAGTTCATCCTTTCGCGACGTCAAAGTGCTAACTGGATTGCTTGTTGTCGCAGCCTACTTCCTTGTACGACAAACGAAGTTGCCCGAGACCTTCACTTCATTGCTTAACCGTAAAGAGGAAGACTTACGCCCGGTTTCCGAAACACTGATCGTTGTAGAAGTTAACTAATTAGCTGTCAAACGGCTTTCCAAGTATTATTTCAGTTACCAAAATAATGGTTAAACTATTTGAATCAAATCGGAGAGTATAACCATACTTTTGGCAACTTAAATGATATTTGAAAAGTCATTTGACAGCTGATTAGTTAATTTATACGATGATTAGTGTTCCAGAAACCGGGCGTTAGCTAATGGTTTTCTCTTTTCATCGACCTTTTACTGCCTTTATCACACTTATCGACCTTATGTTGGCTTAAATTTTTTAATATAAAAGTTTTACAAACGATCTCGGAACGCAAGTCGGATGTGCCCAGCAAAGGGCCACAATTTATGTGTACTTAATAAGTGTAATCTTAAGCAAATAATGTAAACGTTATAGGCGATAACGTGTTTTGACAACCTTCTATTGTATTGGGTACTTGATTAAAATGTAATATTATACTATTATGCAATGTATAGGAAAATGTGATAAGTAATGTATATGAGATTGTGATATGGAAACACATAATCAGGAAATTGTATTTATTACTGACTATTAATCTGGCTAATAATCAGGAGAAATGTAACAATGACTCAAGTTGCGCCGAAACACTTTCTGTTTATTAGACAAAAACAAGTCTATTGTTATAGAAAATACATCAGCATAAATTACAGTCGTATCAATACGCGAGCGATGATATTGACAAAACCATTTGGATTTCTGTCACTATTATACATAGAGCACATAATATGTGGCTTGCCTGTGACAGCTATATGTGACGTCTTTATTTTCTAAATATATATAGAGCCATAAGGCGTAGTGACTTGAAATTTGGTACGAATATTCCTTTCGCCGAGTAGAGGTCAGCTAAGAACTGATTTTACGAAATTTCACAAACAAACGTTTGCCGGATCAGCTAGTTCTCTATATATCTGATAAATCACAGCGCCCGGACTGAAATATTGACGAAGGTATCTGAAACAATCTAAGTTATCTCTGGGGTCATATCTATCAGGATTCGTTAATTATTTGAACCGTGATGAGTAAACAAACCTGCTTGATACTTTGTAATATATATTTTATTTTTATATATATTTTTTTTTCGAACTGTAGGCAAATGCATCTGTACTTTTCGATTGAGACTCGGTTCACCCCATGCCTGCACCAGTCCGTAAAAGGCCAAAAAAGCGATAAGTCGCAGTGCTTTGTAAATATCAAAATTTTATGAGAGGAACATTTTTAAAACAATACACTTGTGTCTCCTCGGATGCTGCAACTGTCCATGCGTGGCGGTGTTCACTTAACTTCAGGTGACCTACTTTCTCGTTTGACTCCTATTTAATAAAAAAAATCCCTATCCATTTTTTCACATGACAATATTATAGCCGTACAATAATACCTAAGCATTTCTTTGTTCCGTTGTAGCTTTGTTGAGGGTGACTCATGTCCAAGTCGGTCCAATTAAGTCGTTTATTTATTCACAACAGACTATGCGCACAAAGGCTCGATCAAACTGTACATACGTGAACACGATATATGTTTATGACTATTCATATTATCACAGCTCTATAGCTATGATAACTTTGGGCATTATAGTTATTACAGACAATGTAAGTTCCATTAATATAACATTATCATATTAACGAACACTGCCACTCAAGGGCGATACGTATATTGTTTGGTGGTTTGTATGTATCCCCAACAATGTATACATTCCCGAATCAAATAGGAACGTTCTTTGTTGAAAGTTCTTGACGTCGATACTTTGTACTTGTCGACATAGTTCCGATTAGCTGTTAACAATTTAATTTCCATTCAATATACGCTTAGGACAATTGTTGGTGGAGTTAGAACGCCCGCGAAATCATTGGGGCTTCGGTTATCACTTTACATCAGCTCGTTTGACCCGGCTCTGCGGTTTTCGGCTTCCCGCCTCATGACCGTACGCCGTTTTCACCCCGGATGTGTGACGCCCGAACAAATAGTCTCTAATGATGACAATATATGCCATCGGTTTTACGATATCGTTGTAACGTTTTATTTAAATGATTGTCTAGTTAATGATGGGAAGATTTAATAAAAGATTTATTAGCAGTTAAGAAATTGTATTTATCCTTTCAGTCTAAAGCTACAATCCCTGTACTAGCTCAGATACAATATATTTTAAAATATGATAAGAATAATAAGTTGGGCGCCTAGTCTGTAGGAACAGACTGTTGTAATAGTTACAATTAAGTATCTCAGGGAGTCGTGAGTACATAGGACCTACACATTACCTTGTGCGACCATAAAAGTTTAAATAATTAAATTAATTTGAGATTATGAAAGTTATGCAATTCAATTCAAAAACAAAGTCCAGTCAGGTAGTTATTTTAAATCTATGTCACCGCAGACACCAGCCCTGTGTGCACAGGTCAGCGTTGAGCTCAGAACCAGCAGAGAAAATCAGGCCAAGTATAGTGTGTGCAGCCACACTGTTGGGGGGTATGTAGGAGACCTCCAACTGGAGGTAAAAAACAATATTTAATCGAGCAGTAGCTCAGACCAACTTGCCAGCCACCTATGCCTTCAGCATACACCACGAGGGATAACAAATCCAGCACAGAGTTCCCAGACAGGAATCTCTCAGATAATAATAATAATAATAATAAATTTTTAGACACATGTTCCATAGTACGCCGATTCTTAAACCCAACTTCCCAACCTCACACAGTACACAGCAGTCAGGATCACAATCACACAAACACACAGCAACATTCACAAACATAAAACACAATGGTACCAGGATACTTGGCGTACGCCCGTATCTTAGGCCAAAGAAAAAACCGACACCGAGTCGAGAATAAATCTATGTTATATAATAATAAAATATTTTATTCACATAGATGCTTGCGCGTTCTTATGAAACGTCAAAATTTTACAAGAAATTAACACGTTCGTAAGTTACCACCGGTTCGGAAAGCAGTTTCTATTGAGAAGAAAACGGCAAGAAACTCAACAATTGCTCTTTTTTAAAAAATCAGTTTACAATATAATAGTACAGGTACAATAGTCTTGTTTTAGCCTACGTGAGTATCAACAGTATTAACCCCACACATTGGCGTCGTCAAGATATTCGGCAATAGTATAATAGGCTTTAGCCATAAGTGTACTTTTAATTTTTCGTTTAAATTCATCAAGTGGCAGACTTAACATCGACTGTGGGATTTTATTATACATGCACACACTTTGCCCCATGAACGATCTGTTTATTTTTGTAGGCGAAATAATGGCGTAGTTAGTTTGTCCTTATTTCTAGTATTTAGTTTATGTCTGTCACTATTCTTTTGATAATTATTAATATTCTGTTTAACATACAAAATATTACAATAAATATATTGAGACGCAACAGTGAGTATATTAATCTCTTTAAAAAGATCTCTGAGTGTATTCCAGGCTCCGATGTTATAAATTGCTCGGACAGCCCTTTTTTGAATAATAAATATTGAATTTATATCAGATGCACTACCCCACAACAAAATGCCGTACGATAAGATGCTGTGAAAATAACTGTAGTAAACAAGTCTGGCAGTGTCGATGTCTGATAACGGCCTAACCTTCCTAATTGCAAAAACAGCGGAGCTTAACCTATTCGCAAGAGATGATAGATGGGGACTCCATTGTAGCTTTGAATCTACTGTGATTCCCAAGAATACAGCGGACTCAACAGGATTAAGGGTTACGCTATTCAATTTTAAGCTAAAACTTTGCCTTCTTACGTTGGGAAGGGCAAAAAGAAGGCATTTGGTTTTTTTAGCATTTAACACCATATTATTAATGGTAAACCAGTGGAGGATACGCGAAAGTGCACTATTCACGTCGTCATAATTCGATACATTTCGGTCAACCTTAAAAATAAGCGATGTGTCGTCAGCAAACAGTACAACATCACATAACTCACTGGCATAAAAGGGGAGATCATTTATATATACTAAGAATAATAATGGGCCCAAGATCGATCCTTGTGGGACACCAATTTTCATGGGGGACCCTGCGGAATTTACATCATTTATAGATACTTTTTGAATTCTATTATTAAGGTAAGAAGCAATGAGATTGAGGGCGATGTCACGAATGCCATAATAATCAAGCTTTAGAAGGAGGGTTTTGTGATCCACGCAGTCGAAAGCTTTTGAAAGGTCGCAAAAAACACCTATTGCATCTTGCGACCCTTCCCAGGCGTTATAAATATGTTTGACAAGTGCGATACCCGCATCTGTTGTCGATCTGCCTTTAGTGAATCCATATTGCTCATTGTGAAAAATTTTGTTCATATTAAAATGTACTAAGAGCTGATTTAAAATTAGTTTTTCAAAAATTTTACTCAGAGATGGCAATATGGAGATAGGTCTGTAGTTTCCTGGATCATTTTTATCCCCACTTTTGAAGACGGGGATTATCTTACTAAATTTCATAAGATCTGGAAATATTCCAGAATCTATGCAGTTGTTAAAAATATTAGCTAAATGTGTTGCAATATATGGCATTATTGTGGTCATTAATTTTATGGACATGCCCCATAAATCCCCTGTATTCTTAAGATTAATAGAATTCAAAACTTTTATAATATCATAAGTATCTACGTGATTAAATTTAAATGTGTGTGGACAAAAGGTAACATTATTTCTTAGAACGTTAATTGCATCTATGGAAGATGATTTTAATGTACATGTGACATTAACTGCAATTTCTGAAAAATAGCTTTCAAAACTACTTGCAATTTCATTATCTGATGTTATGGGAGTATTACCTATAACCTGTTTTATAGGTTCCCTGAATATCTTGGGTCTTCCAGATATACGGGTAATGATGTCCCATGTGGCTTTAATT